CAGAGAAAGAGAGGAAGACCCCCAATGAGATGGATTGGCCAAGTGGCAACATCAATGGGCTCAAGCGTGGGAAGGATAGTGAGGTTGGCCCAGAATCGGGCAGTGTTTTGTTCTGCTGTGCATATGGTAGCTATGAGTCGGTAGCGACTCTATGACACCTAACAACAACAACACTTGCTAATAAGAGAGATGCCAGTTCACTTACTTCGGACATGGTATCTGGAAATGTTAATAGCTAGTAAAGGATATCATGTTTAGTAAGGGATGGTGGTGACTGTGTGCTGTGGAGTCAGTTTCAACTCACAGCAACCCAGCACAGGGTTTCCGAGGCTGTAAATCTTTACGGGAGCAGAAAGCCTCATCTTTCTCCTGTAGAACAGCTGATAGTTTTGAACTGCTGACCTTGAGATTAGCAGCCCGACTCGTAACCACTATGCTACCAGAGCTCCTTGTTTAGTAAAGTAGTTGTTAAGTGCCACCAAGTCAGTCCTGACTCATAGCAACCCTGCATAGGGTTTTCAAAGAATGGCTGGTGGGTTTGAACTGCTAACCTTGCGATTCAAATGGACCTTGAGGTCCAATGCTTATCCTACAGTGCCACATCAGGACTCCTTAGAAAAGCTGAGGGTCAGAGAAACTGATGGAAATCCTCAATAATATGTATTGACACAATAGCCGCAACAACGAACTCAAATATACCAATGAGTGTGAAGATGGTACAGGACCGGGCAGCATTTCATTCTATTATATATAAGGTCACCATGAATCAGAGCTGATTAACAGCCACAAACAACAAGAATCTCAAGCATCCTAAACTCTTAGAGGAGAGAGAAGACAAGGACAGATGAAAAAACAAAGCACAGGACATGCAGAAAATAAAAGTAGCTCATTACTTAAACATAAACTACAGGGTGAAGGGGTAAGAAATGAGAGTGCAAAGATAAGTGGAAGAGAGCATGAAGAAGTGTTATTTCACAGCACAAGGAGTTTCAACAATACCTTGAAATCTACACAGAATTAAAGCAAGAATTAATTCTTTAATTGTGGAGGTGTAACCCAATCAGGAGCTCTGGTAGCGTAGTGGCTACGAATCGGACTGCGAACCTTAAGGTCAACGGTTCGAAACTACCAGCCGCTCCGCGGGAGAAAGATGAGGCTTTCTACTCCCGTAAAGATTTACACCCTCGGAAACCCTGTACAGGGTCGCTATGGGTCGGAACCGACTCGACGGCACTTAACAACAACAACAACAACACAATCAGAATTTCACTTTGGAAAAATTACTCTTAAAATAAGGACAGGTCTGCAGAGGAAGAATGGAGAATAGTTAAGTAACTAATATTAAATTTCAGATAACACGTGTTGTCATGGATTGAACTGTGTTCCAAAAAACATGTACAATTTAGGTGGACAATGATTCCCTAGTTTGGCAGTTTTTTAATGATGCAATGTGGCAGTTATCTAATGATCCCCCAAGATGTTTTCTGACATGAAAAGTTAATAAAAGGACTAAGGATGGGATGCAACATCCTTAATCCCAAAGCAGTCCTAATTATGTAAGGGAAGTTTCCCTGACCAGATATGCAACTGTTTTTATCTTATAACAAATAAAAGGAAAAAGAAGCTAACAAAGACCAGAGAGACCTAACACAGATCAGAGAAACCTAATAAAAACCAGGGAGACCTATCACTACCAATAACGAAGAGCCTGGAGTGTAGCGTGTCCTTTGGACCTGAGGTTCCTATACTGAGAAACTCCTAGACCCAGGGGAAGATTGCTGCTGCTAAGATACATGGAGATCTTCAAGGAATGTTGGGCCCAAAGATGTTAAAAGTAGATAAGGGCCTTTCCCCAGAACCTATAGAGGGAGAAAGTCGTTACCTAGAACCAGAACTCTAAATTTGAAATTTGGACTTCTGGCTTCCGGAACTGTAAGGAAATACATTTCTATGTGTTAAAATAATCCACTTATGGTATTTCTGTTATAGCAGCACAATATAACTAAGACACACACATTTCAGGTTATTTTACCTATTGAACCAACCAACACGTAGCAGAAACTGTAGGCAAGTGACAAAAAGCTTCTATAAGAAGTGAGAGATGAGTGAGGGAGGGTTAATATGTAGCTATCAGTCCTGGTGTGGCACTATAGGTTAATGAGCCAGACTGTAAAGCTGTTTGAACTGCAAGGTTGGTGGTTCAAGCTCACTAGCAGCACATCGGAAACCCTACACAGAGTTGCTATGGGTCAGAACTGACTCGACGGCACTAAACAACAACATCACACATGAATATGCTCAGCATTTCTCAAGCTGAAAGAATTGAAGTTCAAGCCTTGACACACAATCTTGAAGGATTTTATTTGCAAAATATTAAATGATGAAGAAAGCATCAAAAGAAGATGGAAGGAACACAGTGAATCACTGTATCAAAAAGAAATGGTATTTTTGATACATTCCAAGAGGTAGCATATGATCAAGAACCAATGGTATTGAAAGAAGAAGTCCAAGCAGCGTGGGAGGCATTGGCAAAAAACAAGGCTCCAGGAGCTGATGGAATACAAATTGAAATCTTTCAGCACACTGATGTAGTACTAGAGGTGCTCAGTTATCTATGTCAAAAAATACGACAGGCAGTTTCTTGACCAACTGATTGAAGAGATCCATATTTGTGCCCATTGTAAAGAGAAGTGACCCAATGAGAGGAAATCATTGAACAATATTATTAATACAACATGCAAGTAAAATTTTGTTGAAGGTAATTAAAAAATGGTTACAATAATACATTGAAAGGGAGCTGCCAGAAATTCAAGCCAGATTGAGAAGAGGATATGGAACTATGGATATCATTACTGACATTAGATGATTCTTGGCTGAAAGCAAAGAGTAACAGAAAGATGTTTATTTGTGCTTTATGGACTATCATAGCCTTTCGACTGTGTGGATCATGACAAATTATGGATAACATTGCAAATAATGGGTACTCCAGAACAATTAATTGTGCTCATGAGGAACCTGTACATTGACCAAGAAACAGTTAGAAAAGAACAAGGGGCTACTGAATGGTTTAAAACCAGGAAAGGTGTATGCCAAGGTTGTATTCTTATACCCTACGTATTCAATCTGTATGCTGAGCAAATGATCCAAAAAGCTGGATTCCAGAGAACAGCATGATATCAGGATTGGAGGAAACTCATTAACAACATGCAGTATGCAGATGATACAACCTTGCTTGCTGAAAGTGAAGAGAACTTAAAATATTTACTGATAAAGATCATTACAGCCCTCAGCATGGACTGCACCTCAATGTAAACAAAACAAAAATCCTCATCACTGAACCAATAAATAACATCATGATAATGGAGAACAGATTGAAGTTGTCAGACTTAATTTTACATGGATCCGCAATCAACACCCATGGAACAAGCAGTCAGGAAGTAAAATGACATATTGCAATAGGCAAATCTGCTGCATAAGAACTTTTTAAAATGTTCAAGAGCAAAGATGTCAGTTTGAGGACTAAGATGTGCACGACTCAAGCCATGGTATTTTCAAGAACCTCATATGCATGTGAAAGTTGGACAATGAATAAGGATGATCATAGAAGAATTGATGAATTTGACTTTTGGTGTTGGAGAAGAATATTGAATGTATCATCGACTGCCAGAAGAATAAACAAATTTGTGTTTGAAGAAGTACGTCCAGAATACTCCTTAGAAGCCAGGATGCCAAGCTTCATCTCATATTCTCTGGACATATTATCGGAGAAACCAGTCTCTGGAAAAAGACATCATGGTTGGTATAGTGGAGGGTCATGGAAAAAGAGGAAGACCTTTAACGAGATGGATTGGCACAGTGGCATCAGCAATGGGCTCAATCATCACAATTATGAGGATAAGCATGGCCGGGCAGTGTTTCATTTTGTTGTGCATAGGGTTATTATGATTCAAAACTGACTCAATGGTACCTAACAACAACAATCCCCCATGATGTAATTTGATGTGAGAAACCAATACGAGAATTAAGAGTTTATACCATCCTTAATCCCACAACCACCATGATTTTATTTTCGGGAGATTCCGAAGGATGTGGCATGCAACATCTTTTATCCTACAAAAGATCAAAAGAAAGAAGCTTAAGCAGAGAAAGAGGAACATCCATCCTATCACCAAGATAGAAGAGCCATGAGTGAAGTGCATTCTTTAGCCCTAGTTGCCTGTACTGTGAATCTCCTAGATCCAGAAGAAGATTGATGCCAAGATATATGGAGATCTACAAGGAATACTGGGTCCACAGATGCTGAAAGGAGACAAGGACTTTTACACAAAGCCAACAAAGAGAAAGCTTTCCCCAGAAGCGGGTGATGAATTTGGATTTCTATCATCCTCAACTGTGAGAGAATAAATTTCTGTTATAGCATCATTAGATAACTAAGACATTCAGTTTTGAGTTAGAGGTCCTGGAGGTTGACCATGTGGGTTCAGTGTTCTCCATCAAAACTTCCTGTGGTGATGGAAATGTTCCACATCTGCACTGTCCCATACAGTTACCACTAAACACATGTGGCTAGTGAGCATTTGAAATGGTGTTAATGTAAATGAGGAATTGAATTTTTTATTTTAGTTGATTGAATTGTAAACTGCCATATATGGTTATTAGTTACAGTATAGGACAGTACAGGTCTAGAGCTTAGTAGAAAATTTCTAAGCTAAATATATCACATGAAAGTGAAAACTTTGGGAATGGATGTGAAAACCCATGAAGTGGGTACAGAATACAAAAAGCAGAGGTCAAAGTAGGAGCAGAGAACGGGGAAAACTCTAAAACTCTAATAGTTAAAGGAATAAGGCACCTGAAAAAGGATACCCAAAGAGGAAGCGGGGAGAACAGGAGAGAATGATGTTACGGAGGCTGAAGAAAAATTTTTGTTAGAAAAATGAGTTCCTGGGAGTGTCAAATGTCACAGAGAAAAAGTCAAGAAAGATAATGACATAAAAGGGCCCATTAACTTCAGCAATATAGCTGCCATTAGCAAGAATCATTTCAGTGGAGCAATGAGGGCAGAAGCCAGTATGCTATATAAATTTTCCCATCATCCTGTGAAGGGGCCATGTTAATCTTCTCTGCCTCAGTCCAATTCTGGTCAATGTGCTGCCAGAGTTGATAAGGTCAAGTAATTATGAGCAAGGGTGCTAGAATACATATATACTACCTATGTTTTATATGTCTTTTGGAATATAAATAACAAAAGCCATGCTCCTAACCCTTTCATTGATTCAATCACCTTTGCCTGAGTCAAAGCTCTAAAAATGTATGGTGACCTTGCATTTTCTCATGTTTTACTTATTCCACAAAAGAATTTAACTTCCCTTTATTCTATAAATTAAATCTATAGAAAGAGTTAAAAATGATGCTGGCATGCATATTATCAAGGTTTGGAGATAGTATAATTTTCTTGTACATTTTCTTTTCTTGCGAATTTCTGTTAAATCAAAAGGCTCAAAGTTCAAGGCTGTGGGGATGTGGATGAAGATACAGAAATTACCTAGTTTATCCTGAACAATGAAAACAAATAAGGCATCTGAATAAAAAGAAATTTATTTTTTGACTAGAGGATTCCCCCAAGTGGCAGAATCTCTGTAATGGGGCCTTTTAATACCTTAAATACACACATGTTTTAAAGCTATATTTTGAGTCAAAATAGAAATTACTGAAAAATGTAATACCTTGAAAGTAGATACATTATTTCCAACAGCTTCTATTACCCCTGCCACATCTGAGCCAGGAGTATAGGGCAGGCTTGGTTTTCTACTATAAGTGCCAGAACGAATATATGTCTCCACTGGGTTTACACCACATGCATGGACTTTGATTAGAACCTGCAAAGACAATGCATTTTAGTTCATACAGAGCATTCAGACATTCATTCAACTTTGTGCTAGGACTGTGCCAATTATGGGATCTATAAAAATGAAATACAAACAAAACCCAGGCCCTTGCCTTCCACAAGGTCACATTCCAATTATGTAAACAAACATGTAAATAAAATATAAGACAGAATGGCTTTTAAATTAAAAACACTTTGGTAATACAGTGTATGAAATATCTTAGGGGAGGTGCAGTAGAGACCTGTATGTATAACAAAACCTATTTCCTCTCCTTCCCGAGTAGAGAAGAATTTTACTTTCTGGACTCTTTTCACAAGTTACAAGTAGCCCAAAGTTGAGTGCTAGCCAATGGAATAGGAGGAGGAGGGATGAGAATCACTTTCAGTGCCGGTCCATAAGAACCTCCGAAGGCAGTGCCTAGTGTGCCTTCCTCTTCTAATGTGACCTGAGAAGCCACATGATGGAAGAAGTCTAGGACCCTAAATCCTTGTTGGAGCAGAGCTACTCACCAACATTTTACTTTTGTTGTTGTTTTTGTTAGGTTCCATCAAGTGGGTACCGACTCATAGCGACCTTATGCACAGCAGAACAAAACACTGCCCAATCCTGGGCCAACCTCACTACTGTTGCCACTCTTGAGTCCATCGATGCTGCCACTTGGCCAATCCATCATGTTGGGGGTCTTCCTCTTTCTCTGACCCTCCACCTTACCAAACATGATATCTTTCTCCAGTGACTGCTCCCTCCTGACAATATATACGAACTATGAGAGACAAAGTTTGGCCATCTTGGCCTCCAAGGAGCAATCTGGCTACACTTCTTCCAAAACGGATCTATTGGTTCTTTTGGTAGCACATGGCACTTTCAATATTCTCCTCCAATACCATTGCTCAAAAGCATCAGTTCTTTAGTCTTCCTTATTCATATCTCAACTTTCACATACATATAACGTTATTGAAAATAGCATGACTTAGTCCTCAAACTGACATATGTGCTTTTCAACTCTTTAAAAAGGTCCTGTGCAGCAGATTTGCTTCATGCAATACGTCGTTTGGTTTCTTGACTACTGCTTCCATGAGTGTTGATAGTTGATCCAAGAAGAATGAAGTCCTTGACAACTTCAATCTTTTCTCCCTTGATAAGAATGTTGTTTATTGGTCCAGTGGTGAGGATTTTTGTTTTCTTTACATTGAGATGTAATCCATACCAAAGGCTGTGCTCTTTAATCTTCATGAGTAAATGTTTTAAGTCCTCTTCACTTTCAGCAAGCAAGGTTGTATTATCTGCATATCGCAGGTTGTTAATGAGTCTTCCTCCAAACCTGATGCCACGTTTTTCTTCATAGAACCCAGCTTCTCATATTATTTGCTCAGCATACAGGTTGAATAAGTATGGTTAAAGAATACAACCTTGTCGCACACCTTTCTCAATTTTAAACCATTCAGTGTTTCCATGCTCTGTTTGAACAACTGCTTCTTGGTCCAGGTACAGATTCCTCATGAGCACAATTAAGTGTTCAGGAATACTCATATTTCACAATGTTGTCCATAGCTTGTCATGATCCACACAATCGAAGGCCTTTGTGTAGTCAATAAAGCACAGGTAAACATCTTTCTGATATTCTCTGCTTTCAGCCAAGATCCATCGGACATCAGCAATGATATCCCTAGTTCCACGACCTCTTCTGAATCTGGCTTGAACCTCTGGAAGTTCTCTGTCAATGTATGCTTGCAGCCGTTTCTGTATTATCTTTAGTAAAATTTTACTTGCTTGGGATATCGTCTGTCAGCCACTACTCGTCTGTCAGTTTGTTGTACTGTGGTGGCTTGTGAATTTCTGTGATTCTGAAAGCTATGCCACCGGTATTTTAAATACCAGCTGGGTCACCCATGGTGGAAAGGTTTCAGATGGGCTTCTAGATGAAGAAAGACTAGGAAGAAGGAGTGACGAACTATTTCCAAATATTTAGTCACTGAAAACCTTATGAATAGCATAGAAACATTTTGCTTTAGTGAGTGAGAAATAATCTATGGTTGAATCACTGAAATTTTGAAGCTACTTCTATTATAATAGTTGATTTTGCCATAATTAACACAGATGGATTATCTTTGTAATCAAAATGAAGAAAGTCTCATAAAAGAAGCAGTATTTAAGCTAAGGCTCAAAGGATGAGTTAAAATTCTCTAGGAATGGGAGGAAAAGGACACTGCAGGCAAAAGAGAGTATGTGGAAAAGCTGAAAAGGCTCTTTGGGATGCCAGATCAAACTGTGTTACAGTACCACTACTGATAGGAAATGTTGACAAATCTGCAAAGACAGCCCATGGCAAACCTGTAAACACTCTCATAAGGCTTGCTAAGGAAATCAGATTTGGGAACTATGGAAGGCACAGTAATAAAAAATGCATAATTTTGAATTTAAAAAAAATTTTTTAAGTCATTACATATGATTAAACTCTACATTTACAGTCTATTAAATCATATATAAAAACAGTTTGTGTACAAATGAAAATTTGTTTCCCTGCTGTGCATAAAATGTTGTAAGTCTATAATAGAATAACTTGTTCAAAACAACTTATGATATGACTGCATTCAAAAAGCATCTAATTATTGCATTGTACAGATGATTCTTGACTTCATAATTTTTCTTACATAGTCAAAGGTATTCACACTTCTGTTACTAATTTTTAGAAGTGTGTTAACTTTCTCAGAATTGACACATATAAACAGCACAAACTTTTTCCCCATTCAAGGTCTTTAAAAATGGAGTCTGCTTTTACTCAAATTGAAACATGTGCTAAAGATTCACAGTGTAATTATCGCCTGTTTTAAAGTAGTGATTTCCACCTGATGGTCTTTTGGAATTGGTTGTGCAACATCTGACTGGAGTTTCAGCACTTCTGGTCCACCAAATTCAAAAACTCTAATAGCTCTCATCAACTTCTGTCCAGTTGCCATGGAAATCTAGATACTAACAGAAAAAAAAAAAAAAAATCAATGTATTATTATATTGTATCTAGGGTATCACTATGCCTTTTCCCCTGGAGGAGATAGATCAAATAATATTTCAAACAACAATTTAAATCATGAGCCTACTACTGATCTCATTTCATGTTTGAGGACCTTTCATCTTACAAATCCTTTAGCTACAAAGCAAAATACTTCATACTAGTCCTATAGGGATTTAGTGCCTTCAACAACGGAATCAATCAAACATGCAAACAAAAACATGGGGACAGACATACTATATCTTAGGTATCCTTTGTGCAAGCCTCAGCTATAATACCTTAGAAATTTTAGGAGCTAATATGTTCTTGTTGTTAAGTGTCATCAAGTCAGTCGTGACCCATAGTGACCACAGCAAGAGCTAATACAAGTTGTATTAATATTAGCCAAAAAGATCTCTTTTGTCAAATTATTAAATATTTCAAATATATAAAAGATATAAAGAATATAGTGCTAAACCAGGTCTCTCCAATTTTGCCTAACAAAAAAAAAGAAAGTGAATTTTGCAAAGGTTGAGGGTAGCCCTAGAATAGAAAGGGACCAAATCAGGTAGAGGACATAAACTGAGCTGCATCATAGCGATCAGCTCAGCAGTCACTGAACTGAGAAACCTGTGTCAGAGAGAAAGGACTAGAGAAAGACAGTCTACTGTATCACTGACCTAGCAATCTGACTGCTGTGCTGTCCTGCTATCTGAGTCTTCTCCTAAGTTATGAAGTTCTTAGACAAGAAAGTAAAAAGATAAAATAGAAAAAGGAAAAGTTGCCCAGAGCAGATTTTTCCATCTTGGAAACAAGGTCATATTATCTCCCTTACCCACACTTTTTTCTGTCTTTAGCATAGAAAAGGAGGACTTTGAAATCCAACAGGTCTATCACTTACTAGCCACATGACCTTTTTGGGCCCCAGTTTTCTCATCTGAAAACTGGGCAGCCACTCAAGGTTACAATTCTGGAGACATGGAAAGCACCAAGCTCAATAATTTGGCAAATATTTGCTTCTGTAAATAGTAACTATCAGTATTCCTTTCCCATCTATTTTCTTCTTTCCATCTCTTTATAAATAAAAGTGCTGTTGTTAAGTGCTTTTGTATGGATTCCAATTCATAGCAACCCTGTAGAGGGTTTGTGAGGAGAAGTGGGTGGATTTGAACCACTGATCTTATAGTTAGTAGTTCATTGCTTATCCTACAGCACCACACCATGACTCAGTTAATAAAATGTAGGGTTTCCAAGAGCAACCGGTGGGCTTGAACTGCTATAATCATCTGAAATTTAATTGACAATATGTACAGAACCTGGTTGTGAAAACAAGCCCTTATTCTCAGAGGTCACAGTTAGATAATCATTTAAACACAACATTAATGTCAAGCTTTGGATGTTATTCATTCAACGAGAATTTTTAAACATCAACTGTACCCGAGGCACTGTGCTAAACCCAGAGAACACAAAGAACGAAAAGAGTTGTCCCCACCCCCACCATTAACTTTTATTGCTTATGTTCTCTCTCATTCTCACTCACATACACCATGCTGAGTGCTTCCCTCTTTTCCCATTTTCAGTATCTGCCTGACAAACTGCTAGCTACACATGACATGTGTTGCAGAGTAGAACTGCTCCATAGGGTTTGCAGAAGCAGATTGCCAGGTCTTTCTCCCATGGCACTTCTGGGTGGTTTCAAATATCAACTTTTTGGTTAACAGTCCAGTGCTTCAAAGGTTTACACTGTGAGTGAAATGAGTCAGTCACCAAAGGAGAAATACTTCATAGAACCACTACTGTAAAAGACAGAAAAATAATTTTTTGCTGGTTAGCAGTGTGTGGGGATTGGGGTGAGAGGAGGAAGGGGAAGGTGGAGCACAGGGTAGGGAATAGGCACAGGATAGTTTGAGGGCTGGGGAGAGGGGCAATACACAAGAAGGGGGAGGGGAATGGAAGAACAAGGCGAATGGGAAAATAATTAGGCAGGTTTGCATGGGCTAAGTGGGACAAAGGTAAATAACTATGTATGCACAACCTTGGAACAACAGGGCTCAGGGATACAAGGAATGTGACATGGTTGGAATGGGGAAAAGGGGGGAAATAATGTTAAGATGCTTGGCTGTCTTTTGAATCTTGGTTTCCCTGGAATACCATTATAAAATAGACACTTGAGGGGGAGAGAAAGGAATAGCCAGAAATATCACCATAGAAAGCTTGTAAGTCCATCTTCTGCCTGTAACTGATTGGAATACCTAAAATGTGGCTACAATATGCCCAGTGAAGGAGGCTCCTTGCAGAGTCTCTGCATTACATAAGACTATAGGTGGAATTCTGAACTCCATCCAGAATCTTCTGAGATGGGAAATTTCCACTTGAAAGGACAAGCAGACCAGCCTGGAGCAGCTAGAAGAACAGAAGATACTTCTTGAAAGACAGACCAACAGGAAAAACACAAAACAATAACGGTAGTCCAAGTGATTACTACAAGAACAAACAAGTTGCTCCCCCAGGAAACATCAAGGCAAGTGGCAAGGTCCCCTCAGAGCAAACCCCCTTCCAAGACTAAAACTCAATGAGAATACACGAGCAGACATGCCTCTGATTGGTGATTACATTCCTCACCAATAAGGGGAAGTGATGGAAAAACAACAATGAAGTTGTGAGCTAACCTCTACAATGTTCAATAGACTCCTGTGAACCCCGGTGGAGACCTGGTTGGCCTACAGTGTGGCAAGATCTGGGGACTCTTGGGCCCAGAGTCAGTGACATAGCCACAGAGGACTAGAGTGGAGAGTGAAGCGTCCAGCTGATAAGAGAGGGCATATGCATAAGAACACCTACACTTGCAGTAATACCCACTTGACCTGGCTTCAGTGACTGTATGATCAGAGCTCAACTAGAAGAAGAAAGAAGAGGAAAGAAAGTGTAATCTAATACAATTTGATGAACCTGACCTACACCTATGGATGCAGTATCTCAAAAGAGGGAACAACTCTTTACAGCTAGGATCATTCCCACCCCCTCCATACACAGAGTAGACAGGGATGGGCAACTTGGACATTGGCAACCCAAAATGGGGGGAGGGGCCTTAAAACATTTATTGATGAAGATCAAAGCCTTCAGTACAGATTACATCTCAATGTCAAGAAAACAAAATTCCTCATCACTGGACCAATAAACAACATTCTTATCAATGGAGAAAAGATTAAAGTTGTCAAGGACTTCATTCTTCTTGGATCAACTATCAACACTCACAGAAGCATCCGTCAAGAAATCAAACATATTGCATTAGGCAAATCTGCTGCACAAGACCTTTTGAAAGTGTTGAAGAGCAAAGATGTCAGCTTGAGGACTAAGGTACACCTGACCCAAGCCATGGTATTTTTGATAACCTCATATGCATGCGAAAGCTGGACAGTGAATAAGGAAGACCACAGAAGAATTAATGCTTTTGAGTTGTGGTTTTGGAGGAGAATATTGAAAGTACCATGGGCTGCCAAAAGAACCAATAGATCTGTGTTAGAAGACGTGCAGCCATAGTGCTCCTTGGAGGCCAAGATGGCCAAACTTCGTCTCTCATACTTCAGACATATTATCAGTAAGGAACCAGTCACTGGAGAAGGCTACCATGTTTGGTAGGGTGGAGGGTCAGGGAAAAAGAGGAAGACCCCCAACGAGATGGATGCCAAGTGGCAGCATTGATAGACTCAAGTGTGGCAACAGTGGTGAGGTTGGTGTTGGCCCAGAATCAGGCAGTGTTTCATTCTGCTGTGCATAAGGTTGCTCTGAGTTGGTACTCACTCGATGGCACCTAACAACAACAACTGGGGATACTACTCCTTAGCACAGGGTTCTTATGAAGTATGTAACTACAACAGCACAAGGAAAGTGCTTCATTCACAACTTGCAGCAGGTCCTCAGTAACAGGGAGTTTTTAATAAGAATCTGTTATTCAGATAAAATCAGTTGTGAAAGCAGGTCTGTCACACTGTACTTTGAATGACTTCTTCTATTTATCAAATATAAACTTAAAAAAATTTATTTCCAGTCCCTTTTTTAATTTTCCTATTATCTTTTTTACTTCTGAAAGGTTGCCAACCATACTTTGCAAATCCAGAAAATGTGAAATTTAAAATTCTTCTTCAAGTAGTATTTTTTGCTCCAAACCCATTTAGTATAGATTTAAAAATAAATAAATAAAAAACTGTTAGAAATACATTTCAGCATAGAATAAGTAAATCGATTCACAAAGCCTGAACAAAGGAACATTTTGAGACAAGATCAGAAGCAAAATTAAAAAAGAATCTCTGGCAAAACAAAAACAGAAACAAAACGTGGAAGTCAATAGAATCAATCATTACGAAAGTGTAATTGCTGATCAAAAAGGACTCATAAATGCATATTACTTATAATTGCTAACCCAAAAATGTAACAGCAAAGAAACAAGTTTAAAGTGTCTTGTCCTGGCTGTCTGACCTTGCCAAGCTATTTCGCATGTCTGGGCCTCAGTATCCACCTCCGAATAAGAGAGGAGGCGGTTCTTTGATGGTAAGATCTCCATGGTACAGGCCACACAGTACTTGGTAAGCAAAGCTCCATGCGATTTGCAGCTAAAATTTGCAAGTGTGATATCGAACACACAACAGAGCCTCACAGTGGCGTCAAAGGGAATTGCACTGCCTTTTCTCACTAGCTGGGGGTAAGCAGTCCATACTTTGTGTCTAGTTGTCAAGAGCAGTCACAGGGACTCACAGGGACCCTATAAAACAAGGTAGAACAGGCCCATAGAAAAGATGGAGCAGATCACCTGGTCTTTTCTCCAGCAGTGCCTCTGTGGGTTCAAATCAAACCATCAACTTTTTGCTGAAGCCTTAACCATTGTGCCATCAGGGTTTCTTTGGCCTTTGGGTGGCTTGTTGTTTAGCGACCCTGTATAGGGTTTGAACTGCTGACCTTGTGGTTCGCAGTCCAGGACTGATCCTACAGCGCCGCACCAGGAGTCCTTAAATCATTAACAAACTTTCCCTTTTCACTGAGATGAGTCTTTAGAGCAACTATGTAAGCATTCAAAACGTGTTAACTGGGAGTTTTGCAATTTTCTTTTCCTTTGAAGATAATTCTACGTGGGGACCCCAGGAGGAAAAGGTAATTAAAGCGACACAATTCTCTCCAAATGTAAGAGTGTAACTCTGGTCACAAAGCTAGAGAAAGGTCGGGAGAAAAAAGCTCTGGGAAACCTGAAAAGAGAGAAAAAATCCTTCCTACAGCCGGCTGTGGGCAAGGGGACTCAGGAGACCCGCACGAAATGCTGCGGGGACCCCTAATCCAAGGGCACTAGCAGCAGGGCAAAGGAAATTACGAGGTGAGAAGAAGTACAAACGGGCCTCCTGTGGTAACCGAAACACAGCTCCTTCAGGAAAAGAGCCCAGAACCAGCAGATAAAACCCCAGATGATTTACAAATAAGAAACTAGAGGGCAGTAGGCAGGAACGGACCACATCCAAAATCAAGCTCGATTTTATTTCGACGAGCAACGGGGAGATCACTGCCTGGACAACTAAGGGGACATTTTTAAAAACCACTTACCGGACTCTAGAATGGGAACCAAAATCTACGGAGACGCCTCAGACAGACTCCAACGATAGAGGAGGCGGGCCAGACTGGCTCCAATGTTCGCAAGCTCCTCCCTCCGGCCCGCCTCTCCCCGCCCCTTGAAGAGAAAGAACAAGCGATTCTACACTGTTCAAAATGACAAGGAAGCTTGGACCTTCTCGGGACCGGTCTCTTTAATATGGCGGCCCCCAAGCTGCGAGAGGGTAACGTGAACGTGGAGCGTTCAGACCCCGAATTCCTAACCTCATGGATCGCAGCGAAGAGTTCAAAAGGTCGAAAGCGCAGTGTCTCGGCAAAGCGGACCTCAGTCGGAAGGGCAGTGTGGACGACGACGTGGTAGAGCTTGTGCAACTGCTGAACACGCAAGATCAATTTTTCACCACCAGTTCCTGCGCTGGCCGCATCCTCCTCCTAGACGGGGTGAGAAGTCCCTTTGTGCACTTGTCTGCCACTCGAGAAGCCTGATGCCACCTAGTGCAACGCCCTAACCCAGATGTGGGTTAATTGTAGGGACCTTTTAAAATACAGATTTTCATTTTGTATGTCTAGAGTGGAGCCCGGGATTCTGCATTTGTAACGAGCATCAAATAATTCCCAAACTGCTGACCTCTTGACTAGTAAAAATGAGACAATTTGATTTTCTGAGTCCTGGCGTGGCACTGTAGGAGAAGCACTGGACCCCAAGGTCGGCGGTTCAAACTCACCAGCCGCTCCTGGAAACCTTGTGGCGGTGGTGTGCTGTGGATACGGTTTCGACTCATAGCGACCCTGTACAGGGTTTCGAGGCTGTACGTCTTCACCGGAGCAGAAAGCCTCTTCTTTCTCCCACGGAACGGCTGGTAGTTTTGAACTGCTGACCTTAAGGTTAGCAGCCCGACTTGTAACCACTAAGACCAGAGCTCCTTTGGAAGCCCTATACAGGGTCAGTATAAGTCGGAATCGAAACTCGACGGCACTTTACAAAAACAACAAAGGAGTCCAGGTGTGGCTCAATAGGATAAACACTGGACTGCTATACAGAGTTGCTGTGAATCAGAATTGACTCTGGCACGAAACCACAATAAACTGAAAAACACAAACTCAACTGCTGGTAATTCAATTCCAACCTAATGACCCTGCTGGACAGAGTAGAACTCTACCCCATAGATTTCTAAGTCGAATTTTTTTTCTTTGTCAAACCTTTTTATATTTGTGGGTATACACCCATTGTCCCTCCTATAGCTTTTCAGTCTATATATCTGTCCATATATCTATATCCGTAGAACACTGTTGTTACAGGGTTGTGTATATAATAGCATTTACTTCTGTTTCCCTTAACTCTTGCATTCCTCCCTGGGTCTTCATTTGTCTTCATCATTCTTCTGTCAACTTCCCGCTTGTTTCTATGTCTACCCACTCCTGGTGTGGCCATATAGGATCAGTACTCGACTGTGAACCACAAGGTTGGCAGTTCAAACCCACCAGATGTTTCTTGGGAAACCCTATGTAGGAACCTACTCAATGGCTCTTAACAGCATCAAAGGAGTCCTGAGCGCTGGGCTGCTAACCTCAAGGTCTGTAGTTCGAATCTACCAGTCGCTCTGCTGGAGAAAAATGAGACTTTCCTGGTCCTGTAAAGATATGCAGCCTTGGAAACCGTGTACAGGGTCACTATGAGTTGAATCAGCTTGGTGGCACACAGTCACCAACACCCTTTACAAGGCTGTAATCTTTACCAAAGCAGACTGCCACGTCTTTCTCTGGTGGATCAAACTGGTGTTAGCAGCAGTTTAGTTAGCAGCGGAGTTCCACTTACTTAACTCACTTAACACCATCCGGGTTCCTGTCTGAGCAGTAAGGAAATTTAAAAGACTGTAGCCTAATGCAGAAGTCTTGGTGTGGGCCTGTAGGATAAGCACTGGACTGCAAGGTTGGTTTGAACCTCAAGGTTGGTTTGAACCTCAAACTCGTAGCTGCTCATCAGAAACCCTATATGGGGTTGCTGGGAGGAAACGACTCCATGGCGCTTAACAACAACAAGCATAGTGAAAGATGTTAGCTGGAGTCCTCTCTTCAACTGCTCTGCCAAATTTTTGGTGCTGCTTCCTTGAACATCTCCACAGTTAAAAGTTCACTGCTTCCTAGTATCTTACTCTGTTATCACAGTTCTGGTAGTTTTTCTGTTGAACTAAGCAACCACACAGGGAGTTGTCATAAATCTTAACTGACTGGAAAGCAACTAAAAACACAAAGCAACAAGAAGAAGCCCAGGTGGTACAATTTGCTAACATGCTTTTTAATCAGCCTGACTGCTAATAAAAACATTGGAGGTTCAAGTCCACCCAAAGGCACAATTTCCTTCTGAAAACTTACCCGATGAAAATCCCATGTAGCCCACACATTGGGGTCACCTGAGCTGAATCAACTGAAGGCAAATGTGAAACAAATAGAAAGTGTAGTCTTGGAGATAGTTACCAAGCTCTCAGGCTTTGGAAAGAGACTGCGTAGGTTCCACACCACTTATGGGAATTATTGGCTCTGTGACTTTCTGTTGCATGAACTGAGGATAATAAAGAGTATTTGCCTCTTAGAAATATTGTATGGAAAAAATATTAAATGCCCTATAAAAGCTGACAGTGAATTAACTTTAGTTCTAGTATTTAATTGAGAGCATAGAAGATAGCATATTCATAGAGTCATTATTTAGACTCCTGATCTAGGAAGGAGGCCTGGAGGCACATTGGTTAAAGCACTTAGCTACTAACCAAAAGGTTGATTGTTCAAACCCACCAGCTGCTCTATGGGAGAAAGATGAGGCGGTCAGCTTCTGAAAAACATTCACAGCCTTGGAAATCTCTGGGTCAGTTCTACTCTGTGCTATATAGGCTCTTTCTTAGTCGGAATCCACTGGATAGCCATGTGTTTGGGTGGTTTGATCCCCCACATTAGCAGGCCCTGTTACTCAGGCTTTCTCATTCTGTCACCGCTCTCCTTTCCATCTCAACTGGGGTTTGTATTGATTTTCTAAGAGGTCACTGGACTACCAGTCTTTCTCCTACAAACTATGTCCCCACACTGTTCACAGATTCACTTTACTATAAAGTACAACTCTGCATGTCACTTATCTATGCTGAAAACTCTTACCTACTTGGAAGTAAAAACCGCTTGTTTTTTTGCCTTATATTTACTTCGTTTTATTCTCTCTTATATCAGGAAGGATTTAGAGCAGCTTACAACAAGATAGACAACAAGATGGAGGGTCAGAGGAAAAGAGGAAGACCCCCAATGAGATGGATTGGCCAGGTGGCAGCATTGATGGACTCAAGTGTGGCAGCGGTAGTGAGGTTGGCCCAGGATCAGACATTGTTTCGTTCTGCTGTGCATGGGGTCGCTATAAGTTGGTTCCGACTCAGTGGCACTTAACAGCAACAACAACAAAACAACAAGATAATGGTGGTGGTGGTGGTGGTGGTGGTTATATGTCGTGGAGTTGGTTCTGACTCATAGTGACCCTGCATAGAGTTTCTGAGGCTATAAGTCTTTATGGGAGCAGAAAGCCTCATCTTTCGCCCATGGAACTGCTAGTAGTTTTGAGCTGGTGACCATGAGTTTGGCAGCCTGACTTGGAATCACTAAGCTACCAGAGCTCCTTATAAAAAGACAATACATGGGGAAAAAAACCAAAAAACAAAAAAAAACAAAGTGGATAAAGAGAATATATGATATATGTAAAATGAAGGCAGCAATGGCATTAGTTCCCAAAGCATGCCATTAGATCCTGTAAACCTGCTGGTTGTGCAGTTATTGTGAAAGTTCAAGGTCACTTTCACAATAACTGCATCCCACAAAGACTCCAAAGTATTTAATGGTGGTGGTAGTTTTGTGCCATGAAGTCGGTTCCAGCTCATAGCGTCCCTGCATAGGGTTTCCAAGGCTGTAAATCTATGGGATCAGAAAGTCTCATCTTTCTCCTGAGGAGTGGCTGGTAGATTCGAACTGCAGACCTTATGGTTAACTGCTCAGCTCATAATCCACTATGCTACTAGAGTACCTTAAAGTACCAAGTTGTTGTTATTGTTAAGTTCCATGGAATTGGTCCTGACTCATAGAGACCCTGTCTAGGGTTTCCAAGGAGTGGCTGGTGGATTTGAACTGCTGACCTTGAGATTCAAACTGACCTTGTAGTTCAGCACATTATCCTGCAGTGCCACATCAGGACTCTAAAGTACCTAACAGAACTTAATAAATAAACATTTGCCCAATTAATAAATTTTGACCTTCTTACAGTCTCAGCTCTGCCCTGAGTCTAATTCAGTACTCATAAACTCAGGCTTTGTGAGACCAGATGTGAGCAGCATGAGTGTCAGGAAAAAGTGACAAGGCCCATGTAAGATGGGGACCATGCTATCCTACAACAGAAATGCAAATTCTTTATTTTCTCTCTCTCTCTCTCTTGTGCTCTTTTAAATACTACGCTAGCCAAATAAAATAGCTACAGTACACCTCAGGGTTGCTAGTGTATAACTGCTTGTAGTAATCTCTTCTCCTGACAGAGTCATGGCTATATATGAACTGCCTTTACCTTACTAAGCAAATTAATTTTTCTTTCTCTCATTTGAGTTCATTTTTGCTTTGGATTAACTCTACCCCAAAACCTATTGAATTGTTCTCATTAATACTTAAAATCACCAGTTGGAACTGTTGACTCCACGGCACATAACCACCACCAACCATAGTATGCTAGAAGTATTGGTGTGATGCTGTAGGATAAGCACTAGACTGGTAATCACTAGGTCAATGGTTCAAACCCACCAGCTACTCCTCAGAAACCCTATGTTGTTGTTGTTAGTGTTGTTGAGTTGTTTCCAACCCATAGTCAGTATAGGGTTTCCAAGGAGCATCTCATGAGCCTGAACCGTTAACTGCAGTTCAAGCGACTTTGCAGTCCATCATGTTAACCCACAGTGTCATACCAGGACTCCCAGAAACCCTATGTTGTTGTTGTTAAGTTCTGTCAAGTCAGTTCCAACCCACAGCGACCCTGTATGGGTTTTCCGAGGAGCAGCTGGTGAGCTTGTACTGCCAAGCTTGCAATTCAAACTGACTTTGCAGTCCAGTTCTTTAATCTATGGTGATACAACAGTAACAACAACAATATGCTGTGCACTGTGCTCATTTATTTAAGTTAACATATCATTTGTTGTTTTAGGGTGTAAATGGTTTTGAAGTTCAGAAAAAAAACTGTTGTTGGCTACTGGTGACACATAAACCTTGTGTAAAAGATGATGTGGTAAGTTGTATACATAAATTCAGAAATAAACTTTTCAATTCACAGTTTCTTTATATATGAAAAGATGGAAAATCCAAGGTGATTTATGTGCATACTTATAATTTTAAGATTATAAAACCTCAAAAATATTCATTACAGTGGCTTTTTTGGATTATGCTATCGTTAGGTGCTGTCAAGTCGATTCCAACCCATGGTGTCCTTAGGCACAACAGAACGAAACACTGCCCTGTCCTGAGTCAACCTCACAATCATTGCTATGCTTGAGTCCATTGCTGCTGCCACTGTTGTTGCTCCATCTGTTTGGGGGTCTCCCTCTTTTTTCACTGACTTTCCACTTTACCAAGCAGATATGTACTCCAGGTCCCTCTTGACAGCATGTCCAAAGTACAAGACACTTTTGGATGATAGGAAACAACACGTGTAAATATATGTGGTAGCTTCAAAAACTTTGGGGAAGAAAATGGAATTAAAAGGTAATGGAATATTTCCACAAACTTTTTGAAGCCTCTGGTAGTGTAGTAGTTACGAATTGGGCTGCAAACCTCAAGGTCAGCAGTTCAAAACTACCAGGTGTTCCATGGGAGAAAGATGAGGCTTTCTGTTCCCGGAAAGATTTACAGCCTGGCAAACCCTGTACAGGGTCGCTGTGAGTTGGAACCAACTCCATGGCACATAACAACAACAACATATATGTATCCAAGCATTATTTGCTTATGCTTACCAAAACACATTCTTGTGCACACAACAGAAAGGTGATTGTTGTTGTTGTTAGGTGCCGTCAAGTCAGTCATGCGCCAACTTCGCAATCATTGGCTACCCTTGACCCTATTGTTGTTGCCACTATGCCAGTCCATCTCATTGAAGGGTTTCCTTTTTTTCTCTGACCCCCCACTTTATCAAACATATCCTTCTCTGGAGACTGGCCCCTTCTGATAATATGTCCGAAGTATGAGAGATGAAGTCTGGCCATCCTGGCTTAAAGGAGCACTCTGGCTGTATTTCTTCTAACATAGATTGGTTTGTTCTTTTGGCAGTCCACTTTTAATATTTTCTTCCAACACCATAATTTATATGCATCAGTTCTTCTACAGTCTTCTCTATTCTCTGTCCAACTTTCACATGCATATGAGGTTATTGAAAATACCATGGCTTGGGTCAAGAGCACCTTCGTCCTCAGACTGACATCTTTGCTCTTGAACATGCTAAAGAGGTCTTTTGCAGCAGATTTTCCAAATGCAATCCATTCTTTGGTTTCTTACTGCTGCTCCCATGAGCACTGATGGTTGATTCAAGCAAAATGAAGTCTTTGACAACTTTAATTTTTTCTCCATTTTTATGGTTGTTGTTTATTGGCCCAGAGGTAAGAATTGTTTTCTTTACATTGAGGTGCAACCCATACTGAAGGCTATGGTCTTAAGTCTTTTTCACTTTTAGCAAGCAAGGTTGTATCATCTATATATCACAGATTGCTAATGAGTCTTCCTCCAATCCTGATGCCATGTTTTACTTTATATACTCCAGCTTCTTGAATTATTTGCTCAGAATACATATTTAAAATGTATGGTGAAAGAATACAATCCTGGGACCCACCTTTCCTAATTTGAAACCATTCGGTGTTCTCTTGTTCTTTTAAACAGGGCTTGTTGGTATACATACAGGTTCCTCCAGATACTTATTCTTTGCAATGTTGTCCATAGCTTGTCATGATCCACATAATCAAAAGTTTTTGTGTAGTAAATAAAGCACAGGTAGACATCTTTCTGGTATTCTCTGCTTTCAGCAAAGATCCATCTGACATCAGCAATGATATCTGTCATTCCATGTCCTCTTCTGAATCCACCTTGAACCTCTGGAAGTTCTCTGTCAATGTATGGTTACAGCCCTTTGTATATTATTTTTGGCAAATTATACTTGCATGTGATATTAATAATATTGTTAGATGATTTCCACATTCCTTTGGGTCACCACTTTTTGGAATGGGCACAAATATGGATCTCATCCAATGAGTTGGCCAGGTAGTTAGTTGTCTTCCAAATTTCTTGGCATAGATGAGTGAGTGCCTCCTCACTTTGTTGAAAGATTTGTTGAAAGTGCTGCCTCACTTTGTTGAAAGATTTCAAGTTGCATTCCATCAGTTCCTGGTGCCTTGTTCTTTTCCAGTGCCTTCTATGCACCTTGGACTTCTTCCTTCAGGATCGTTGGCTCTTGATCATATGATGCCTCTTGAAATAGTTGAACATCGACCATTTCTTTTTGGTACAGTAACTCTGTGTAATCATTCCATATTCTTTTCATGCTTTCTGCATCATTCAGTATTTTGCCCATAGTATCCTTCAATATTGCAAGTCAAGGCTTGAATTTTTTTCTTCAATTCCATCAGCTTGAGAAATGCTGAATGTGTTCTTTCCTTTTGGTTTTCTATTTCCAGGTCTTTGAACTTTTTTTTTTTTTTTTTGACTTTGTCTCCTCAAGCTGACCTTTGAAATTTTCTATTCACCTCTTTTTCCCTCCCCATTTCTTCCATTTGCTTTAGCATCTCTATGCTGGAGAGCAAGTTTCAGTGTGTCTTCTGACATCCATTTTGGTTTTTTCTGTATTTCTTGTCTTCTTTATGACTTTTTGCTTTATTCCTGTATGATGTTCATGATAGCATCCCAAGACATCAAGTCTTCGGTTTTTAGTGTCTAATGCATTAAATCTGATCTCTAAATTCAGGTGGAATGTTTTCAAGATCAAATTTTGATTCTTGTGGACTTTTTAAAATTTGTTCAGCTTCAGCCTGAACTTGCGTGTGAGCAATTAATGGTCTGTTCCACAGTCTGCCCTGTCCTTGTTTTGACTGATGATACAGAGCTTTTCTACCATCTCTTTCCACAGATGTAGTCAGTTTGATTTCTGTGTATTCCATCTGGTGAGGTCTATGTGTATAGTCGTGTTTTATGTTGTTTAAAAAATGTATTTGCAGTAAAGATGTCATTGGTCTTGTAAAAGTTTATTATGTGACCACCATTTTTCTATCACAATGACCATATTTTCCAACTACTGATCCTTCTTCTTTGTTTCCAACCTCTGTGTTCAGTCGCCAGTAATTATCTTGATTGCATATTTGACCAATTTCAGACTGAAGACGTTGATAACAGTTCTTCAGTTTCATTATTACCAACTTTAGTCAGTGGTACAAAAATATGAATGATAGTGGTATTAATTGGTTCCTTGTAGGCGTATGGCTATCCTATCACAGAGTTGTTGTACTTCAAGACATTGTTTTTAATGATGAATGTGATGCTATTTCCCTTCAATTTGTCATTTCCAGCATAGTAAATCGTGTGATTGTCAGATTCACAATGGCCAGTACCAGTCCATTTCATCTCACTAATTAATGCCTAGGATTTTAATGTTTGGTCTTACATATAATTTTTGACAATTTCCAATTTTCTTAGATTCATAGTTAGTACATTCCATGTTCCAATTATTAATGGATGTTTACATCTGTTTGTCTTCATTTTGAGTTGTGCCCCATCAGCTAATGAAGGTCCAGAGGGCTTTACTCCATTTGTCTCATCACGGTAAACTCTGCTTTCAGGAGGCAGCTCTTCCCTAGTTGTATTATGAGTGTCTTCCAACCTGAGGGGCTTATCTGCTGGCACTATATTTGATAATATTCTACTGCTCTTCATCATGTTTCAGTATTCAATATTCTGGTGCTGACAGTGTTCCACTGCTATTTATAAGATTTTCAGTGACTAAATATTCGTAAATAGTCCAGCTCTCCTTTTTCCTAGTCTGTCTTCATCTGGAAGCTCATCTGAAACCTGTCCACCATGGGTGACCGTGCTGGTATTTAAAATACCTGTGGCATAGCTTCCAGAATCACAGCAACATGCAAGCCACCGCCGTACAACAAACTAACAGACAAGTGGTGGAGAAATTCCATAGATATTGGAAACTTATTACATCCTAATTTGAGTTTCAAGTTCTGCCTCTTTGTAACTAACCTTGGATAGACCATAGAAAGAAAGTGAGCAGTGGGACAGGGAGAAGAGATGAGCACTATCTGTGCTTTATTACTGTCACTGTTGTAAATAAATTATGTATTACTTACCTAGCATATCTCAAAACCTTCTAATCTGTGTCAGGCTATTCAGTTTCCTAAATTAAAATATTTGTTGTTAGGTTCTGACTCATAGGGACCTTATGCACAATCGAACAAAACACTGCCTAGTCCTGTGCCTTCCTCACAATTGTTGTTACGTGTTAAGTCCAATGCTGCTGCTACTGTGCCAATCCATCTCATTGGGGGTCCTCCTCTTTAAACTAGTCAGCCACTTTAAATTCCAAGTGAATCTAGAAATCCAATTTTAACTGTCTTATACAAAATGAGAAGAAAAAATCCTCATGTGGTGCGCATGTAGGATAAGCACTGTATTGCGAATAACAAGGTTGGCAGTTCAAACCCATCAGCTGCTTATCAGAAACCTTAAACAGAGTCACTGTGAGTTGGCGCTAACTCAGTGGCACTTAAGAACAGCAACAAGAAAAGGATCACTTATTATTTAACTGGAAAAAACATACTGATGTCAAGCATTACTGAGTCAGGTACTGAGATGTTCTCTCAGAGGACTCATTCCAGCTTCTTCTTTGGCTACTGATTCTTTCTGTTTGCCTTGAATTCTCTTCTGTTAGAGGTGATCTACTTTGTGGCAATAAGGATAACTGGTAACCACTTCAGTTTAAAAAATAAATAAAATCCCTTAGGATTCATAGTCTTTTGGGAATAGGTTTTTCTCCTCCTTAGATCACTTCTTTTTGTCAGTGGATTGGGATAGTATTCACAGTGATAGATCACTTGCCGTCTTCTTGTAGTGTAATACGGTGGAAGACTAGTAAGTGACAGAGTTGGCGTTGACAATCTCTCCAGAATCAAATAGTGTGAAAGACAGAGGATGCTGTAAGGGAGCTGCTCCAGAATGCTCCACAGACAGAAATAACAACTGTCTTGTATGTATTCTAGCTCTGACATGGTAATACAGATGTATTGGTGTGGCACTGACTCTTACCTCAATGGTAGTGGTTCAAGCCTACCAGACGTTTCTTGGAAACCCTATTTAGAGTTGTTATATGTTGGAACCAACTTGATGGTGCTTAACAACACGGCAGCATTCCTTTATTAAAAATCTATTGTAGAATTAAATATATTTCGTTTCCTTTTTCAAGGTACAGAGATGTTTGAGAAGAATGATACAGAAATTACATTAATCAGGTCTTTTTAGAAAAACAGAGGATAAAGTTTTTATAAAAAGAGGACCAAGAGAGCAGAGTGAAAAGTTACTGCAGAAAAGCTCTGCTGAGTTGGCCTGACTGTTTCAGAAAGGCTGACCTTGTGTGCTGTAAAGAGTCAATGAAGAACAGAATATACAGTTTTGTTTGACGTTGAAATTTTTTCATTTATTCAGATTGTAGCTCTGAAGAAAGCCAGTGGTGATGCCATTTTGAAATTTGAACCATTTGTTCTTCATGTGCAGTGTCGACAGTTGCAAGATGCCCAGCTTCTGGTAAAATTCTGTAATTTCATTTGCACATATAAGGAGGTGGGTAGATGTAAGCCTGAAATCTTAAAAAATCACGGAGCCCCGTGACATGCTGTAGGTTAGCAATGTCCTGCTAACTACAAGGTTGACTGTTCAAATTATTGCATGAGAGAAAGATGAGGCTGTCTACTCCCGTAAAAATGTATAGTTTTGGAAACCCTACAGAGCTTTGGAGTAGTTCTACTCTTTATTATAGGATCACTGCTGGTTGGCAGTGGGTATTCAGACAATTAATGTGACATTAGTCATTCAACTCGATTTTGGAAATAGAGTCCTGGTGTGGTGCTGTGGGTTAATGCACTGGACTACGAGGTTGGTTTGAAGCACAAGGTTGGCAGTTCAAGTTCACCAGCTTGTCTTCAGAATCCCTATTCAAGGTCGCTATGAGTCGGAACCAACTCAATTGCACTTAACAACAAAAACAATCACTAGCAAAATATAACATCCAAATTGTGTCTCATGTATGCTTCCTTAACTTTTGATTTATAAATTTTACTTCAATATTCTAAGTGGAGGGAGATTGTCTTAGATTTAGTTTCAGTTACCTATGTGAGAAATATGGCTGGTTGGTATGATAATACTGATGAAGGTGAGGAGGTAGTAGATTTAAAATATATTAGAGCTTGAATCACCAGACTTTATGAGGCTACTTGGGACAAGGAAGACAGGGGGCAGGGACAAAGGAATAGAGGATGAATTGAGTTTCGATTTGTACACCTATATATAAGGTAGTATCCCTTTTGAAATGGAGAGTGCTGGAGGAGGAAGTGGTGAAAATCAAAGTCTGAGTCACGTGTTAAGCAAGAACTTTCTATAAGACATCTCAATGAAAATTTCAAGTCGACAGTTGGATAGAAATCTGGAATTCAGAGAAGCAGTTTGGACTGAAAATCCAGAATGGGGAGTCGTCAATACATAGGTTATATTTAAAACCACGAGACTAAATAAAATCTGTGGAGAGAGTGGTCAAAGGGGAAAGGAGAAAGGGTCCTGAGGAACACCAGCATGTAAAGGTAGACACCAAAGTAGTTCAAGAATTTCCTTGCTAATGCCCTCAGTCTCTGCTTAACCCCTGAACTTCGATCTAACTTTATTTTAATCGCTAATTTTACTAGAACACATCACTATTGCTGTTCAAACCTTTAACTCTCCTCTTTCCATACCCATGTCCTATTTCGAGTGCTCATCTTGAATTGATTCAGCCCAGTTCTTCTGCACCAAAGCCTCAGTGGAAATCTAACATTTGGGAGTCCTGATGTCACATTGTAGGATAAGCTCTTGGACCAAAAAGTCAATTTAACCCACAGGCTTGGTGGTTCAAACTCACCAGCTGCTCCTCGGAAATCCTATCAGGTTTGCTATGAGTCAGAACACACACAACGGCACTTAGCAGCAATAGTTGCACTGGAATTGGAAAGATTCAGTTTCATCCATTCATAGCTGCTTCTTGATGGTATGCCAGACAATCTTCTGGATACTAGGGAAACAGAAAACAATAAGACCCTGCCCCACAGTAACTAGTATTTATACAAGAGGGCTTTAAAATATTTGTGGAAAAATTAAATTAAAAGACTTCTAAGACTAAGCGTCGATGGAAATACACACTGTGATTGGTGACCACGTTCGTCACCGATAAGGGGAAGTAAGGGAAAAACAGCAATGAAGCTGCAAGCTAAGCCTTACAACGTTCAGTAGACTCCTGTGAACCCAGGTATAGACCTGATTGGCCAGCAATGTGACAAGACCTGGGGACTCTTGGGACCAGAGTCAGAAACATAGCCACAGAGGACTACAATGGAGAGTGAAGCATCTAGCTGATAAGAAAAGAGCGCATATGCACAAGAACATCCACACTTGCAGATAACACCCATTTAACCTGGCTTCAATGACTGAATGATCAGAACTCAACTAGAAGAAGAAAGAAGAGGGGAAAAAAGAGTAATCTGATACAATTTGGTGAACTTGACCTACACCTATGGATGCAGTAGCTCAAAAGAGGAAACAAATCTTTACAGCAAGGATCATCCCCACCCCCTCCATACACAGAGTAGACAGGGATGGGCAACTTGGACATTGGCTACCCAAAATGGGGTGGCTACAAAGGCAAGATTCATATTTCGTACATTCCATGTTCTGATTTTCAATGAATGTTTACAGCTGTTTCTCTTCAGTTTGATTTGTGGTCCATTAGCCACAAATGTACGAATTATGAATGTACAAAGTATGAATCTGGGAAAATTGGAAGTTGTCAAAAATGAAATGGAACACATCAACATCGATATCTTAGGCATTAGTGAGCTGAAATGTACTGGTATTGGCCATTTTGAGTCTGACAACCACATGGTTTACTATGCAGGGAATGACAAATTGAGGACAGATTGTGTTGCATTCATTGTCAAAAAGAACATATCCAGATCAGTCATGAAGTACAACGCTATAAGTGATAGGATAATGTCCATGCGCCTACAGGAAAGCCCAGTTAATACCACTATTATTCAAATTTATGCACCAACCACTAAAGCCAGTGAAGATGAAATAGAAGAATTCTACCAACTT